CGCGCGCGAGAGAGAAGAGGGAAGTGAGACCCGACGGCGGATAATAATACCACAATTACTCCCGCTGGATGCCCGAGTTCGCGGAAAGAAGGGAAATAAAATCAGCATAAAAGCGAGAGCCGCCAAATGGCGGCCTCGGCGCGGCGGGCCTTCTAATGAAAACATGCAGAGACGGCGGGGGGCGGAGGGGGGGGGGAGGGGGAAAGGCGGGAGGCGCGGCGCGGTGGCCCTTAAATTAATTCACGATGAATTACGTCCGCGCCAGCTGCGCGGGCAGTTGTGTTTATTTATGGAGGAACTAAGATCTTCCTCTAGTCCTTAAAGGCGGATTCGCCCTTATAATTTCTCACGGTGACCGAGTGAGTGAGTGAGAGAGAGAGAGAGAGATAGGCGGCCCGCCTCTCTGCCGTTTTCCCGCACGCCGCCCGAAGAGAGGGAGAGTGAGAGAGAGATGATAATTGCTCCGAAACGAGGATTCCTCTCTCTGACGAAATAAGAGGGAACGCGTCCGCGCGGCCTCGACGCAGGCTACGGCCGCGGCCGCCGCGGCGGCGCGGGCGGCGCGGCGCGGCGCGGCGGCGTGTCGCAAACGAGCGCGATTTGGCCCGTCGGGGGAAAAAGCGTCGCGATTTTTTTTTCTCGGAGGGTTTTTTTTCGGTCACCGAGAGAGCGACCATTCATTGGCTCTCGTGAGGACGCTTGAGGACGCTTCGCGAACCGGGTTTTTTGTTTTAGCGACCGGCCATTTCGACGTAGATTGCAGTGACGAATGTGGCACGTCGCATATTATATTGAACGCGAAATGGGCCATTGGTTAATTGAAGGGTTCCCCAGAAAAACGTTGCAAGCGACAAATTTATCAGATGCGATGTTTCAGCGGAGAAACGTGGATATATATACAATATCGAGAATATAATTGTTCTCTTCTAAAATAACACTTGACGTGTCTTTATTTTGTGATGCATTTTGAACTACATCACACTAGCGAATACTTTATAACCATTTTGCCATTAAAATTTCTCTCTCTTTTTTAAAATGTAATTTCAATATTACTTTGAAATTGCAAACTATCTGCAATAGAAATTTCGTTACAGTGAAATCCTCTTTACTTTAGTGATCGGATTAATTCTCGTCGTGAAAAACCACGTGCAAAGAGTTCGCTCGGTATTTAATAAATAAGAGCAATTAGATGTGATCGGAGCGATCATGAAGGACAAATCGATTGAGACACACACGAAAATGCATTTTAATGGAAATTGGGCACGTATAATGACGCTCCTGCGAGAGAGCTGTCGGCGGAGCGACCGAAAACGAACCGCGAAGCGTAACGAGACGCAATTTCAGTTGCCATAAAACTTCAAAACCAAGTCCCCAGCGGGGACGGCCGATTTATTTAGCAAGTGAATACAAAACTGTCGTATAGCGAGTGGTGCGTGGGAATCGATGCGTGGGATCGATTTTGTTATCTTTCCACGGTTTTGCTAGATCCACTTTGTGGCTTTTCGTCTGAAAATAGGATGGTCATCCGTAAGCGGAGTCGGAACGGCCAATCTGGACACGTCATTACGTCACGACGTTGTAACGTCAAGTATAATTAGAGAAATTACTGCGGAAACCGAATGTCACGGTAGCAACGATTGGAATAGCTAGACAAGGCTTTGACAGTAATTAAAAATCTATCGGTACGGAACGTAAGCACGCTATGGTGGAAATATAAAAATATAATTAGTATCGTCCTCTCTTTCTCTCTCTCTCTCTCTCTCTCTCATTCATTCTCTGTTTCTCACACTCTTTCACACATAATTTCTGCATACTCGCTCGAAGCAACTTGCGCTAGAAAACGGTCGTCGCTGATCTATCGAACACTTATTAGTTGTTTGGCTCACACCGGAAACGAGTAATCAGATATCACCTCCCTGATCGTAGGACGCGCGATCGACGAAATTTTTTATTGACTTATCACATTTTGATTGAGTTGCTCCTGTAAGTTTTATTACAGCTTTTAATTTATACCCAACGTATAATAGATTTGTGAGAGACATTTTTACCACGTTTGAAATATCTTTTACATATTTTAACTCTCATTAAAAATTTTATTCAGCCAGTTTGTAATTTTTATATTTTTATCGGTAATTTTATTTTACGTTGGTTATAAGAGTAAAATTACTTCAATATTATATTATAGATCTTTTTTATACCCCTTCTTTGAAAATTATAAACTTACAGTCAGCCGTGATCATAAAATTGCATTATATGCAATATTATACAAGTATTATATACTTGTTACATTAATTTGACGGATGTGAAATACTGAATTTATTGTCTTGTCATTAATTGTAAGTCGATCAACATATGGACACGAAAACTTCACTTGACTCATGTTTGTATTTTTAACTCTATTTAAACTATATTCGAAAATATATTGTTTAATTGCGTTTAAAATTAAAATTAATTGTATAAGTAACCTTTTCTTTTATAAAAAAAATGTGCTTTTCAGGTTTTCATTATCTTTTTTAGTTTCCACTCTCATAAAAAATATAACTTTGAAGACCGGAGCCTTGTTCGCTTTCAAAGTTTGTGTTAAATTTCACGATCAACAGTTGCTGTTAAAGTTTTTCCAAGTAAATACCCGATGAATATCACCCAATTTTATTTCAACCGAAAAGAAAGTTCTAATATCGAGAGCCCGTTCACTCGAAAGCGAAACCCTCGAGTGAACAATCATTGAAAACGACCCTCCACTCTGTGTTACCGCCGCGCGGAGCGTTCCGGTACGGAGAATCGCATTCAAACGGTATAGAGTACTAAATGTTTCTCCGAAGACATACTTAATTCCGTGTTGACTGGAGAGTTTTGCCGTCGAGGAGCCGCGCTAACCGCAGAGAGTGCTGTAAAAACTCCCTCGAGTGAACGCGGTAACCTTGTGGAAAAGAAAAGAAAGTTTGTTCGGAGAAGAGAGGACAGGTACGATCGCACGTCCGTGATCGAGGCGTGTGTGGCGAACAACTTTCGTGGGGAGAGGGGGCGGGGGTGGGTGGGTGGGTGGGTGGAGGGGTGCAGGGGGACTGCTCGTCCGCGATCGATTCGCTCGAGATCGAGGGCGCCCGCTGAGACGCGGCGCGAGACACGGCGACTTTGCTACTTCCGGCTCGAGAACTCCTTTAAAGCTTTCAATACTCGCTTTTGAACTCGCGATACATACATCCTATTACACCGGCGTAATCGTAAGGGCTATATCTACGGAAACGCCACGCCGCTCGCACGCGACGGTGAGTGAGCGCAGCGCGGGGAGGGGAGGGAGGGCAGGAGCTGGGGGGGAGGGGGGGACAAAAGTGGCACGAATGTGTTTAGTTTACCCTGACGTATGCACACATATACACGTGCGAGCGTGCCTGTATTATGATACACGTATAAATATGTACATATCACGCAGATTTATTGCCGCCGAAACTGAGGAGTTACGCACCTGACTCTTCGGTCCGCGCGAATATTTAGTCCGGGATTATCGTCACCTCGAGGTATGCTCTTCTCCTTGACTCTCGTTGACCTCATCTCCGGTCCGTTCAATCTCAGCCTCTGTCGCTCCATTGTCTTCCTCCGCATTATCTTTCGCGTTCGTCGTCTCTTTCGCCAACGTTTCGAGTTAATCGATCGAGAACCCGCAATTTGATTTGACACCGCGTGCACTTCCGCATAACAAAACAAAACAAAAAAAAGAATAGAACAGAAATCGATATTTTACGTAAAAATTATTAAGCTCGATTGATGCTAATATCAATCTCATTCTCCTGAATCACCGCTAAGATCAAATAAAACGGCGATACTTTACACATAACCGCAAGCTGGGATTATGGATTGAGATTAATTTTGCACAGAAGTAAAAATCTGGGGCATCACTTTAATGCTGCACAACAATATCGAAAATGGAACCGAGTTGAATTATACCGATCCTCGAATATAATTAACTTAGCACTCACCGATCGATTCTCCGATTCAAGTGTAACGAATCAATATGCGCCCCCGTGATGCACGTTTCCGTCTTCGGCCCCACCTGGTTCATCTCCCTTTCGCGAGCTTTCGATGCATTGATTAAGGTCTACGAATTACGAATAAGCCACTCAGGGAAGACGATACGTCGACGTCGGCGGCGGCGACTTAAGCCCATTCGAAGTTGTTTTTGCCGCGTGGAGCCGAGCAAGCTGCTGAATAGCCAATGAAGATTAAAGCCTACGGGCTTTCACCTTCACGCGAACTTGGCTACGCGGGGCATGGCGGGGCTTCTTCAGCGGCACTGATCAGTCAAAATTAAAATACAGTACATTCGGAGAATGGCACCGAATTTTTCTCTCAAATACCTATATTTTTATCTATTTTTTTTTCTTTTCGTGGCAGCTGTACAAACAGCTTCGATTCTACGGTCATCGTGTGTCGATCGCATATAAAACAGCGCTTCCTCTGCAAAAGTGAGTCTTATGCCGTTGCGAAAAGTCGCACGTTTGCGCGAGATCGCCAAACGTGCGATCGCGAGCACTGACGACGGGTGGCCTCGAGCTCGAAGTTCCTCAGAATTTCACGGCTCCTCTCGCGTCTCTCATCACCATCGCCATCTTCGGCAAACGATTAGAAGCGACAGCAGCGGCGACACCAGGGCGTAGAGCCGTCGTGGATAAGGGTCAGCGCCCGAGCTGGCGATCGGTCGTTTCTTGCCGACGCGGATCGTCGAGGACGGCGTGACGAGCGACGGATAACCCACGTGTCCGTGGACCGTGTTGTCCACCGCCGGCGGCTTGTTCTCCGTCTTGTCCATCTCCGCCGAACCGAACACCGTCTCGTCCTCTTCGTCATAGAGCAACGTTAACACCGGTGTCTGCGTCTTCGCCGGCCCCGAGATCTCTGAAACATGGGAAAGATGCGCGATTTTGATGGGCCTAACGGAAAGAAAAAGAAAGCAATCTGCAATTGGAAAGAATATTCAAGAACGTGATTATTCGTGGCAATTCGATTAGGAAATTAGCATAATAATCGTGGCAGTACGATTGGGAAATTAGCATAATAATCGATACGTATATACAGGATGTTCCGAATTTAAATATCAAAACTCCGGGAGTGCGTAGGCAATTGATAAATTAAGAAAAAAAGTCCTTTAGAAATATGCTCGTTTTTGCTACGTCTTGGAGAAAATTGCAAAAAAGACGTAGTTTTCATTTTTGTACTTATTTATTATTTATTTATTCACGTTGTCACTTATTTAATGTATAGATATTGTTCAAAATATTGGCAACAATTCAAGTATTGCGCCTAGTACGGACAACTTGTGTTGCAGCCAAACACTGATCTGATGATATTTGGTGTACTGCAGCCACGATTCGGTCTCTCAATTGCTCTCTCGAGTTGACTGGCAACGAATAAAATTTCTACTTTAGACTTCCTCCCCCATACAAGAAAGTCCAATAACAGTATCAGATCAGGTGATCGGGGTGGTCTATAGATACTACTTTTCCACATCCAATCCATCGTCGTGGATAATTTCTGTCTAGCCAATTAAGCTTTAATACACCCATCCAGCTGGAACCACATTTCAATCTGTTGCTGCAAATGGGTGTCTTCTAAATAATTATAGAAGTCGTTCTTCAAAAAATCTGTCTATCTGACTGCATTTAATCTTTTAAATCATTACTGTAAAAGGTCAACATTTTGAACAATATCTACATTAAGCAAGCGACAACGTGAATAAATAAATGTGAATGAATAATTAAGTAATAAATAAGTAAAAAAATCAAAATTATTACGTTTTGCTTTTTTGCGATTTTCTCCAAAACGAAGCAAAAACAAGCTGATCTAAAAAACTTTTTAGTTTATCGATCTCTTATACGCAACCTGAAGTTTAAATTCGGGACACCCTGTATAATAAGCGACAGCCGCTTTAATATTATTGAATTATATAATTATATTGCAACATCTTGCTCGTTTTACTGACCTTTATTTCATCTAATTTTTATTTTATCTAATAATAAGTGACTTATATGTGAGCCCCTTGTGGTGATTCCCCGACGCTTCAACGCGAACCGAAAACTCTGTTCATTGTATTGTTTCAAAAAGTAAAGAGAAAGTGTTTACATCACAAATTTATCGGCGCTTATTCGAGAGTTTTGACGCTACAAACTTTTTCCATCTCTTGAATAAAAGGAATAACGGTCAAGTTGAGCTGCTCGTAAACAAGACAGCTTGAACCACGTGTTATTCTCATGTACAGAGTTTACCACCAGACAAGAGGTGGACACGTGTATCCATATACAGCATATGTTTTTTGTCAAGTTCCTGTCGGAATATTCCGTGGTGGAGAGTTTCGGGAAGATTGCCCCTCGCGGTAAAATCGATTGCGTTATCTTGTTTTAGCGCGGCGAGTTAAAAATTTCCAATCGTTTTTCCCGAAGATCCCCGTTAACGCCGTCGGAGTAAGAAACGCGAATGCAGACGAGACTGGTCTCTTGTATCGTCATCTCTAAATTTACGTACGCAAATATGTCATCCTTACGTCCGCCGCACCGGATGAAGATCTCCCTCGGTTCTCGAAATCGATGGGTCGATAACACGCGACGATTTACGGAACGCGAAGGGTGTACTGCACTTTCGCCAGCCTTATCTTCTCACCCCTTCCGCCCTCGTGCGCCCCTCCCCCCTCCCTCTCGGGGATGAGCTGTAAGCTAGCCGAGAAATCCGGCGTCTCTCTCGCGCGCGCGCGAAAAGATGAGGATTGACCGAAGGGCATCTGCCGCTGATATAGAGGCAACTCCTCGGAGATTTCCGTCCCGTAAAGTGACGATGCTTGTAAACGCGGGGGGTGTGTTTGCCGTAAGGAGGAAACCCTCTTATTCCTATCATCCCGCGATCAGTCATCGATGCAGGATCGAGGTAGGCCCGGTTTACTGGCGGCGCGAGAGCGAGAGAGCAACAATTTCCACGCCGAGTTATACGGACGACTCGTTAACCTTGCGACCCGCCAAATTAATATTAGAAATAACTGCAGCGCGAGAGAATAAATTCCGTCCCTTGGTTTCGCTCCCCCTCCCTGGGCTCCCCTTCCCGTAACGGTTCACGAGATATCGCGGTGTAACCGGGTTGCAACGCGCGGCAAAAAAACCGTTTTCCGCATCGTAATTCGTTCGTTGTGAGCAGTCGAGTGCCTTGTTACCCGAACGCGTTTAAGATCGTTTCGCTCACAAGTCACGCATAGACGTGCAGAGCGATTTGCACGATGTAATATCTCAAAAAAGCGGATTTCTCCGCGGATCTAGTCTCAAAATTTCTTGTCTCCGTTAAAGCCGCGGTCTATCAACGGAAGCTATTTAACATTGAGAATTGAAGAATCTGGTAAATAGAAGTTCGAAGACTGAAAAAATAGAACGATCTTACTTTTTTTTTATTCAATATTCTACAGATTTTATCTTTCCACATCTTTATTTGCGGTTTAGCTATAGAGTTTAGAAACTTGATGAAATTCGTGGTGATTTTCTCCTGTTATAGATACGATTGTCCGTAATATGTAAATTTAAAATTTAAATAATGTTCACTTTTTGTTATTAATACATATTGCGGAGCAGTGTTATCAAGGAAATAGATGTTATCAGCTGTAACAAGCAGAAAATTAATCCCGGCACGGTGTTTATAAGTATAATAACTCATTCACAGTTTGCAGAGCAAACTTTTCACCGTTGACCTCTCCCGCAGCAATTATCTGCCGGTCTATTTGCTGGTTTTATTTCACGGAAATCTTAATCCCTAGCGTTACCACCATCTGAAAGAATAAAACGGAAGGAGGGAAAGGAGAGGGGAGGGGGAGAAGAATAGGAAAGAATCGCGATTATTCACAAATGTACACGTTGCATTGAAACGAAATGCGGCGCGAATAACGCAATTCTCCCTCCGTTTTGACTGCGTTCTGTCGGGCAATCGAATTAGGTATTCTTTATGGGCTCCGCGGGAAACTTCGTTTGATAACGGTCGAAAACGCGCTGTGTACTCACCGTATAATCGAATACTACTCTCGACCTCGCCGAGGGAATTTTTGGCCGCGCACCGGTACGTTCCCACGTCGTTTCTCTGCAAGTTCCGGATCGTGAGGACCATCCGGACTTCGAACGGTGACTTCGTCACCGTCTGGACGTCGTGCCTGACGCTGGATATTATCATCGCACCTGCGAGAACAAAATGCGGCGAGCACACTCGATTATTCCGATTCCGCATAGAAAAACCGCATATTGTTTCTCTTCATGTTTGCATTCAGCATTTTTATCGATTGATATGCGGCAGCAATAAAAAAAAGAACCATTTATTGTGAAATTACAGAGAGAAATACAGAGTGTGTTTTATGCAAGATAGAAAGAGATTGGAATTAAAAATAGATGTTAAATGTATAAATTTACGTAATGACTACAAAATACAAATCCCAATTATGATTTTTATGTTTTATATATTTTTCGATACCGTTAAAACTATGTCAAGAATTTTTAAATTCGAGTACATATTGTTCGATTTTAATATTCTGATTGTTTTCAGTTGTTTTGATAATAGGAGTTCAATAAATGAGCAAAGTTTAAAAACGCCTATTGCCACGCAAATTGTATTAATTATATGCATTTATTTAAATATTATTTTAATTAAACTATGTTTATATGCTATGCGCTGCGCGCCAAGGAGCCACGTCCTTTACCATAAATAAGATATCTCTTTCCCGTTCGCCGCTAAGCTTTCTTATTCCACGTTGAAACAGTTGCATATAATGGGAAGCAAGTGAAAGGTATCTTCCACGCGAGACGAAATTGCATACGAATGCATTGGAGCGAGGAACTCCGGATAGCTGAGCGTGTGTTAAACTGGGAGAACGTCTGGCTCTTGGCGAGGTGAAATCCACTGCGGGGATATTTCCGCGAGTCTGGATAAGTAGTATTCTCTCTTATATCTATCTAAAGTTTTCTTGAGGGATTCTGAGCCAAGTTATTACACGTTGTTGCGATATGTTGCTGGTGCTCGTTGACATTTCGTACGATTTATGGTACTGAAAACATTGCTACTTTTCATCGATGTATTTACGAGAACAAATTTTGAATAACCGCTGGTGAGTGCATCGAGAAATTTTACTTTTTATTAAAAACTATATGGTACCGAAAACATTGGTACTTTTCATCGATGTATTTACGAGAACAAATTATGAATATTCGCTGGTGATTGCATCGAGAAATTTTACTTTTTATTAAAAACTATATGGTATCAAAAACATTGCTATACTTTTCATCGATGTATTTACGAGAACAAATTTTGAATAACCGATAGTGATTGCATCGAGAAATTTTATTTTTTATTAAGAACTATAAAGATTCCCAGAAATAATCAACAATTCGAATGTAATAAGCTAATGGATAGAGGTGTGCGAATCAAGCATTTACATGGTCGAATCGAATCAAATTAAATTTTTGATAACATGTTCGAAATCGAATCAAATCGAATCTGAAATTTTCACTTCGAATCGAATCGAATCGAATCTTTTTAATTCGAATACGAATCGAATCTAAATCAAATTTTTCCAGATTAACATTAAATGTTAATTTAAACGTAATAAATATCAAAATTTATGATTTACATTATTTTACGCAATGATTTAAACAAATTGAAGACCTGTTTTCGATTTACATCTTATTACAAAGGATTATGATCTTACGTTTCGGCCATCCTTCTTTCCATCCTCAGTGGTACATATATCAGTCACAGGATCGGTATTACGTAGATCATATTTCCATTGTGTTTTAATTTACAAAATAACCATTTGGGCGCACAAATAACATTTTTAAGTGTCTCACAGTCGTCACATATTTAAAAAAGAATCATTTAAAAGTCATTTAAAATCGTGACTCTTGGAAGCACAGTCGACTTTTAATACTCATTTCTGTTTTAAATATGTGACGACTATTAGACACTTAAAAATTTTATTTGTGCGCCCAAATGGTTATTCTGTAAATTAATACACGATGGAAATATGGTCTACGTATGATCTACCGATCCTTTGACTGATATATGTATCACTGAGGATGGCCAGAAGGATGGCCGAAACGTATGGAAAATAATTTATATATACACGGGATAAACTTATGTAGTTTATTGAAATTAACTTTGCGCAATAATTACCGCGCCGATTCCCATTAGCCCATTACATTCGAATTGTTGTTTACTTTTTATATTTTATCGTTGTATTTTGCGTAAAATAAAAAAAGGACAATCTGAATTATATTCAACGCTTTTTTTTGCGTATCGCTTATTTGTACAAACTTGGAACGCGTTTTCTAATAATGCGAATGTATTTCTTGAAACTCTGACAATAGAACGATACGCCCGCCGCGGTATCGGAATCGCCTGAACTAAAGTACGGTCCATAATCGGATTTGTCTTGCAAGAGTAATTAACGTTTGAGCATTTCTCCACTAGTTACAGTCGGTAATTAGTTAACAAACCAATCGCTATAACGGACTATGCTACTTGCGGTAAATAGTACGCAGCGGCAAACTACAACTATTTCATTGTAAATGTTGATATTGCATTCGTGCATGTGAATGGAAAGATATTCTGTGAATTATTCCTATTGCATTAAATCGTAATTTCATTTCGCGTGGAAGCGAAAACTGTATTGTTAATAGTTGACTGTTATTAAAATTAATTTATTTCATTGATAGAAGACAAAAGGGAATTGAATTGTCAATAATTCGAAATCGTATATATCAGCGTGTACAAGTATAACAATCACACGTATTCGATCAAAATTAAAACGTACTATGGCGAAATTCAGTTTAAGTTACAGACTTTGAAGCTGTGTTATTCATGAACAGGTGTTTATATATAGTTCTAGAAGTACAATCGAAAATTCTTTTGAATACTTATTACAGTTTATTTTAATGACAAGGACCTAAAGTCAGGCTCGTTAGTCCTTATACTTATTATACATACATATATTGATTTTACAAGCGAAAAATTTATCAGCTTTTAATCACTGATGACCATATTGAAAGTCGAAACCTTTGATAATTGTTTAATTGAACGAACTTACCGTGAAGTTCGATTCCAATTATGCTGTCTCATCCGGATGGATATTTAAGGATATATTTATGGATATGGATATTTTATCCTGTTGAGGATAACGCGACGGATCGCTACTACATATCCATCCGGACGAGACGTTGCATAATTTAAAATATTTGTTACTTTGAATGTTTAGTACTAAACTTTATTCGTTACAGCACAAACACCTACTTTGGCTCGTTAGCTCTTGATGTATTATTTTTATTGATTTAATCAGCTTTATTCTTTGTAGTAGAACAGTTTACGAAAAAAACTCAAAGTTAAATATCACATAACGATATCTATAATACATACTTATTTTTCACTTATATATATTTTTTAAACATTTAATCCGTAAATTTAATTAATTTATAAATTATTTAATTAACATAATTTATTATAACGGTTAATTAATTTAAAAATTTTGCTACCCATTAACGGCCATCTAGAATTATTCGATGTATTGAGTAGCGATATGTGGAACTGATACCTAGTATTATAATGTGGAAACACAATTTATAAAATCTGAAGTCAATCCATACGAGAGTAATTATTGACAAGCTGATAAATGTAACAAATTAGGAAAATTTCCAATAAACAATAAATAATAAAGAATCCAGCCAACGAGCAATACTGCACACTGATAAAATTAGCAAGCATTATGGATTGAAAAAATACGATGACGAAATAAAATATTACGTTGAAATTTCGTAGTATTGAAGCGTAATTGGCAACAGAACAACAGAATCCGATATGAAACACGATGCCAGAAGGTCTATTTTTAACGAGGAAATTATCTCACGTGTCATCTCACCCTTGGGATCCTTGACCCAATAGTTAATCGACATCGGGGACGCCTCGACGAAACATTCCAGGACCACGTCGGTCCCCAAGGGCGCGCCGACCAGCTGATTGGGTACTTGGATCACCGGCGGAACTGTAAATCGAAATCGGGAGATATTGTTCGCATTTCCACGGCCTCGGCGCACGGGATTCTACACGAGGTATACGAGATACATCCGATCCTACGACTCGGATCCGTAATCACTATTACTTACAATGAACGTTGATATAAATACGTTTGCTGACCGCGGGCGGAACCCCGTTGCTGGCGATGCACAGATAAACCCCCATCTCGTTCCTCGAGATTTTCGTCAGCTTGAGCTCCTCGCCGAGAAATTCAGACATGGCAGACACTGAGAACAGCATTAAAGTCGAATAAGACTGACAACCCTTGGTATACATATACAGATCGCTAGCGCGCCGCCAAATTCGCGTCCGCGAGATGTAAAATTTTCTTTATTCTATATAATAGCTGTGACATCGATTTTTCCTCGAGGTATCAAAATTTGATCAATCTAATTTATTGATTTATTTCACTAATTATAGTTTATTGTCTATAATTCTTGATCTAACGTGTTTAAGATACGTTATTTCTCACAAATCCGAATTTACGTGGCAGGGTTCAATAATATTCTATTTTTACGCGAATAATTATTAATAAGATTCAATTAAGCATATCCGATATAGAAAAGCAAAACAACCACTTATCAATTAATAAAGATGAATATTTGATTAAAACTATTCCGTTTCATTGATTCACGGAATCATTAATTAGCACAAAATTACTAGTAAATGCACTTTCTTACTTTAGCAAAGGCAAATTTTTTCCTGACATGCCAATTTAATTATAGATATATTTTTATATGATAAAATAGTTGGAATATTAACTGACAATCTCAATTGTCTCGGGCTATTGTTTTATTTAACGAAGAGCAATCATTATATATAGACGGATGGAAAAAGAACGTGAAGCGAACGACCTATTACAAAAGCGGCGGTCGATAATCAATAAAACGACAAACGCGCTTAATGATATTATATTCGCGCTAATTATGCTTCGCCAATATTTTATTATGGAACACGCAACGCCCCCCTTTTTTGCGCGCGTCACATTTTATACACGCCACACTTTTCACACGAATTCTTAGTCGCTATTTGCAAATTTGCTCACCTCACGTTTCGCTACGATACCTTTGAAAGTTCCAACAGTTTGTAAAGTCCGATCCGACAGTTGCGCTAAGCTTAAGAGGCGTATTCTCTCTGACGGCCGGTGTGAATTGACGAAAAGAAACTTCTTTTTTTTGTTAAGCGACACCCCCGCCGCATATCCGTCCGTTTCAAATACGAGCGTATAGCGAGCGTATTGCAGATGCAAACAACGAAGTTGGCGCGTGCAGATAAGACGAGCGCAATTTGTTGCGTCTGCACCTGTTCCTTTAACCGCGGGATATCGCAAGCAAACGCACGGAGCACCTCCTCACCTGCGGCCTCGTTACGCTACATCAGCAGTTCGGGGCGCGCAAAAACATCGATTTTCCCCGAAGGCCCCGAGACACACCCCGTGTGTTTTCCGTCCCGCGAATTAATTACGCAACGGGAACGGCGTAAACATCAAGCGTTTTGCTTGCCGCGCCGAACTTAATCGAAGTGATCGTGAAGTCCCGACGAGCGACACGACTCCGCGTATCCCCCCCCCCCCGACCCCATTCAAACCTTAATAATAGCTCTAAAAAAATTCTTTGTCCGCGCTCGGAAATTAGTTCATTGAAAATAATAGGTATTTTGAAGCGGAAAACAAGAATAAAAATTGTGAACGGGAAGATCGTGTCGAGAGAACTGAATGGATGAAACGTATCTCGGGGCTGGAGGACGTTCCGCTCGATAGACAACCGTGTCTGAATACTTAAATTACCGAAAGATTCATCGGTGGCTTTATTTTTTTACGAGGTTCACAAACGCAATCTCTATCAGAAGAACGAATCCCAAACTTCCCTCGCTTTCCCTTTCCGCCCGCTTGTTTCTCTCGTGTTACGACGTTGGCGCAAAGTGTCAGCGCGACGTTAATGAAATCGTGCGGTAAACGCGAGACTAAGGCAAACTTTTCCGACATGGCTCCGATAATCACGTCGATTGTAGTGCCGACAATAAGCCGCCCGGGGTCATCCGGAGGGTGCGGAGGCTCGCGCTGCACGGCATATACGTCGCACCGGCTGCCACGACGTGGCGGCATCCTTGCCGTATGGACCACGTCGACGGTATACGGCGAAATTTGCCTGCTATTAGTATCACCACGCTGAAGTGAATACTAAATACGTCGTTTAGCCGAGACCGGCGCCGACGACCGTGGGCAAGGCGAGACGCTTTGCTCCGCGAGTAGGTATGCATTTCTCCCGACCAACGTCCATTTTACGGCCATCATCTCGGGTGTTTTCATCAAGGAAACATGCAACAGTTTTATCTCGTCTCGAGCGTTTCGATACGATTTTCTCGACGCGCACTTACGACCTTAGAGTCTCTTTGATTCGTCGAATATGTAACGGGAGTCGCAAGTAGAGAAAATTAAGCGAGTTTTGCTCTATCGGAAAAAGTGCAGGAATTTGATTAATTATCAGGATATTCCATTTCCGCAATCACAGAAGGAGAAATCGGTCATAAAATCTTCAAACTACGGCTAAGAACAACTCTCGACAAACTGCCATTTCCTATAATGTGAAATGAAACGATTCCCCTATTTTAATACGAACATATAAATTACGAGAGAATCCCGAAAGAAGGTGAGCGCGTGTGCTGTATAATTGGCTCAATATTAAACGCGGCGGAGTTCGACATTACGTTTAATGATCCGCGGAACGACGGCGTGACGGCGGCGGCGACGGCGGCGACGGCGGCGGCGGCGACGGCGGCGGCGACGGCGGCGGCGGCCGGCCATTCAGCAGAAGTCGCGGGACGGAGGCATCATTCTCTCGTATAACATCAGCGGAATCGGTTTCCGGAAGGAAATTCGTCTTAAAGTCCGGAACCGCGATTCGTAATGAGGAAATTTGAATACTAACGGGATCGCGCGCGGCATGTGCGCCTATAAGGAAAACATAATTGTATATTCCGCGCTATATATCGACGCGGAACGGCGCTGCGCGGCGCGGGCAAGCGTACCATCTATATTAAATCTTACCGTGAGACTTCTGGTTCGGGGCGCTTCCTGCAAATGGCGCTTCCCGAATTATAATGGGCTTGCCGTCTTCCCGGCGCCAGGATACGCGCGGCTCGGGTACGCCTCTCGCCCGGCACGTTAACTTCACCTGTACGTGTTATGAAACCGGAATTATAAAGAGAAGCGAGTTCGTTATTGCACTCCACTAATGCCGTGCTTCATCCAAATATATTTGGAGGAATAAAGGTGGAGGAGAGAGAAAGAGAGAGGGAGGGAGGAAGGGGGGGAGGAAGAGGAACGCGCGCGCTGCACGGGTCCCCGGTCTCTATGTAAAACACGTACGCGCGCGAGGACGCTTGTCTGGAACAATGGTGGCTCGCGCGGATACTCGTGCGGAAAACGAATCTACGGTCGCGAGGGGCGGCATGAAATATCCGGCGTCGACCGGGACGCCGGGCGATTTTTAACGGTTACCTGCTCCGTCGCGCTCGCGCGCGGCCGATTTTATATCGAACACACTCCTCCAATTCTCGTTAACGGAGCGTTCAATTTAGCGATATTTTCGCTTCTGGGCGGCTTTAATAATCCAAGCGATCCGAGACTATTTTTGGCCGAACGAGGTCAGACACGTTCAAATCAAGTCGGTTTTCATAATTTGTCGCTCTAGCGTAGTGTGCCTGCATTCGAGAACGTCCATCAATTATGAATATCGGCCCCTAATTTTCGACGGCCACAATGTTTATGGATTACTCTCGAAATGAATGGCAGCGACGAGGCTATACGAAGTTGCGAAACACGTATACGCGAAATGAATATCTGTGTATGCTGTATATACAATGGAAAATATAAACGGCATGTTGACAATTAACGACACGACACGTGTCGCAGCATACTGCGCTGCTTGTTGGCTTGCGTTCCACTGACACGCCGCCTGCTGGCTTGCAATATCTGTGACATTTTTGGATGAACATCGTGTTAGCACGATCCCGAGGTGCAACGTAAGTTATTGCATGTCGTGTATATTTTGCGTAACTACCTTCAAAAAGGCATAAAATAAGACGCGAGTCTCTTAACTTCTCCAAACAGCGCTTTTTCGGCGCTTCAAATTTATAGACGTTTAAAATTGATGTAATAACTAAATATTGATATTTGTAACTATATACGAACTTTTTTGATCATGTCCTTAACAATATTGAAAACATTTCCAGAAAAATGAAAAATAACAGTCGAATAAAATGAGCCAAACTCATTAATGTATATATATGTTATGAAAACGTTAATTATTTAATATTGTATTATCAGTGACCTGATCTGATAAAGTTTCAAATATTACTAATTTTATCGAGACGTGCATATATAAATTAATATGTTATATCGATTTCAACCAGATTTTTGAAATTAAACATATATCACATTTTCGAGAAATAAACGAAATATGCCGATTAGAAATATATCGAAAGCGTGTAATTCGAAGCGTACAATCTCGGTAGAACATTAAACATTCTTTGGGAAGTATTACCCCGGGAGAGTTTGGAGAAGCTTACGCGAAGAGAGATAGAGAGAGAGAGAGAGAGAATTTCGCGTTTTGCCAAGAGTCGCATCAATTTTAAATCAAAACCGCAACTAGGCCGAGGATAGATATCCTAAATGCGATAGCTCTTATTGCTGGGAGAAAATGAGTTTAAAAACTGAAATACCTCATATTGGCATTTGTTCAACAATAAGTGGAGCGCGAAAATGCGTTTGTCGCTTTGCGGAAGTGCGATAAACCGCGAAAAATCTCCACGAGTGTACGTCTTTTTCGGTTCTTTTTTATTTTTATTTTTACGACAGTTTGCAGGTGAACGCATGAGAAATGCCATTAACAACAGTTATGGTCTGACAAAGTTATTTATTTATCTCGACGGATTCGGCTTTCACTGTCAAAAAACGGATGAACACGAACCAGAATCTCGATTGAGATTTCAATTTTTTATCAATTTTATCTATTCGCCAAATCAACGGAAGTTTTAGTTCTACTAACAGTCTCTTAAATTTACTACTGTCAGAGGTCATATTTTTTAAAGTTATTACGTTAAAAAGGATGTAATATAAATAAAAATTATTTAATTTATTAAACAAAATTGTTTTTTACATGCTGTCAAATATTTCTTTTAATATATTTATTGAAATATATTTATTGAAATATATTTATTGAAATATAATATATTTCTCAAATATTATATACAAGATATCTTAAAACAACCCTCAATAACGAAATTCTTTGGTCGAATTTCTGGTCTTTTCGTTTTTCCGTAGTGAAATGTCCAGAAAAGTTTTCGCTTATTGCAACTTTCCAATCTTTTGAATCATTTATTTTTATGGCTACGCTTCGAATTAAAAAATTTTCTTAAAGTAAACTCCACTCGAAGTTAAACCGAAGAACGTAGTTTTGTTATTTGTTTGACTTAAAGTTTAATACACGAAAAGAGAACGAAAAACCTTATCCTTCATTTCCTTATAATTTGACATTTTCATGAAGAAAAAAAATTGTCTCAAAGAATCCATCATTAAAAGTACATTCGGTTTTGGCACACATAGTATAAAAAGCATAGTATAAAAAAAAATTTTTAAACTAACTGCTACTGATGTTAATTTAGCTTACGTCTATAAAACGTACATTTTGCAGAAACGAGAAAAGAACTAAGTTTCCCGGGGTCGTATCAGAAAAGTCGAAACTTGTGATTGTTCAATTTTCCAATTTATGTACATAAATTATATCCATCAGACATACTAGAGCACACAATTTCGCGTTGTAACAAAAATAGGATCGCGATATGATACTTAGACATGTGTCCCAACCAAACTCGTCAAAAGAGATAGAAAGTAACTTATCAGGCTGACAGTCGTACAATTTTCAGTATATACCAACTGCGCGCGGTAGCTTATATAATAGGGGGACTCGCGATGCGCGCCACCGGTATAATTTCAAAGTTTAAAATGGTCCATGATGGTAGAGCTCCGCGGAGCTGTCGCGTCTTTCGTAAAAGCGTCCTGTCAGACGTTCCGCGGGAAGCGCAATATTCTTTAGCCGCGCGACACACCGTCGGCCATGCGCGCGCGGAAAAACGCGAGGATGAGATGAGGTATTCGCACAAATTGCGCGACTGCCACGGAATATGAATTGTGAGCAACAGGTCACTTATTTTCACTGATGGCTTACTTACAGCATCCGGCGCCGGAAAGACCGGGGGCCCGTTCACACGCGTGTTCGCCAGATTACACTCTCTCTATACAATTACGCGTGAAAAATCGCCGGATTAAATGAATTACTTACGAGCGATTAGGCGCAGAAATCTATTACGCGTCGTGTATGTGAGGTACGCACGATTATATCTTTCTTTTTCCTCGAAAATTAAGGCGATGCTGGAAGGTCGGAAAAATTTGCACGAGGTCGATAAAGTAGACTCTTCAGTGTCAGTGGTATCTCTAAATGAACTTCTTACAATATCTTCTGGTCTCACTCAAACACGTGGAATGTTCTTATTTAACTAATAGAAGTGCCATCTCTTGGAAA